TCAGCTACCTTCAAAAAAGCCTGTCCCTCATGACTGGATGAGGCTTTGGGGTGACATGCAGACACAAACTATTAACACATAGGTATGGCCTCTTGCATCTTAACATCGTTTAGGGTACTGTTTGGCACTGTAGTCAAGGGAAGCAGTAGTATCACTCCCTGGTATTTAGACACCAAGACAAGTTCTCTTATCTCCACGATGGCATGCTGGTACATTGCATGCTGCTCTGCAATGCCCTATTTTGTTTCCAATCTATTTTATTTCAAAGAGGAAAAAAAATTTCAAAACCAACCATCAGGACAACAATGGTACATACATTGCACTGCCATCCCCAAATCAGTTACCCAGAGGGCAAGACATCTGCATTCAATTGTCCAAACAGTACCAGAGCAAACCTTTCTCTTCAATGAACTCAGAGAAATCAGTAGTATAACTATCTTAACTATATTTTGACTAACCAATATATACACACATATTGTTTCAGCTTCTCATATTAGTGAGACAATGCAATGTTTACACATGCATGTTTGATTTATTTCACTTATGAGTATGGTCTCAAATTGCATCATTAACCTATAAAATTCTTGTTTGTCCTTATTTATGACTTAGTACTCCATTGTATGAAAGTACCGTATTTTTATCCATTCCTTGGTCGATGGACATTTAGGTTGTTTCCAAGATCTGGCTATGAACATTGGTGCACATGTATTGCTGTGGTACAATGTTTTTAAATCTTCTGGGAAGATCCCCAGAAGGAGAATAGCTGGGTCAAATTGGGACCTCCAATCCCTAGTTTTTTGTGGAATCTCCACACTGATTTCCACAGTGCAACCAGTCTAAACTCCTACCAACAGTGAAGAAGAGTTCCTTTTTCCCCACATCCCCTCCAGCATTTGTTATTGCTTGATTCCTTAATAATAGCCATTCTTTCTGGGGTGAGGTGGAATCTCAGTGTTGTTTTAATTTGTATCTGTCAAATGACCAGTGGTGTTGAACACTTTTTCATATATTTAGTTGTCATTTGTATTTCTTCATCTGAGAATTGTGTATTCATCTCAGGTGCCCATTTTTGGATTGGGTTTTTAAATCTGGGAGGATTGACTTTTTTGAGTTCTTTATGTGTTTTTGATAGTATTCCTTTGAGGAACAGCTGGCAAACAATTTCTCCCATGTTGTGGATTGTCTCTTTATTCTGTTGGTGGTTTCTCTTGCTGTGAAAAAGTTTTTTAGTCAGATGAGATCCCAGTTGTTGATTCTTTGTGATAGTTCCTGGGCAATCAGGGTTTTGTTCATAAAGTCTTTGCCTGTACCAATGTCTTCAAGACTTTGACCTGCTCTATCTTCCAGCAGAGTTTAATGTTTCTGTTTTAATATTTAGATCTTTGATCCAATCCAAATTAAGTTTGGTGCATGGTGAAAGATATGGGTCGAACTTTAATCTTCAGCATGTGTAGAGCCAGATTTTCCAGCACCATTTAATAAAGAGGCTATCTTTCTTCCAACGAATGTGTTTGGCACTTTTGTCAAAGATAAGGTGGCTTAGTGTATCTGGAGTTGTTTCTGTATCTTCTAATCCATTCCATTGATTTTTTGGTCTGGTTTTTTTCCCCAGTATCATACTTTTTACCTCTGTAGCTTTATAGTATAATTTCAAGTCAGGGATTGTGTTGCCTCCTGCCTTGCCTTTGATGTCCAGGATTACCTGTGCTATTCTAGGTCTTTTCTGGTGCCAGATGAATTTTAGGATTGTTTTTTCTAATTCTGTGAGATATGCTACTGAAATTTTGAGTGGGATTGCATTGAATCTACATAACAGTTTTGGAAGTATGGCCATTTTTACTATATTGGTTTAACATACCCAAGAGCACAGGACATTTCTCCATTTTCTAATATCCTCTTCAATCTCCTTTTTCAGAGTACTGTAGCTTTCAATGTAAAGGTCTTTTACATCCTTTGTTGGATTGATTCCTAGGTATTTCAATTTTTTGGGTGCTGTAATGAAAGGTATTATTTCCCTGATTTCTCTCTCAGTGAGTTTGCTATTCATGTACAGGAAGGCTACTGTTTTTTTTTTTTTTTTTTTTTTGAGTGTTGACTTTGTATACACCTATGCTACTGAATTTGCTTATTAAATCTACCAGTGCCATGCATGGGTCAAAGGGAGTACAGCCAGGCATCAGCCATTTCCTGTGAGTCAGTGCCATTTACAGACTACGAAGAAAGAGAACAAGAAGTTACCAAGGAGCAAGCCCTCCCTGCGAATCAGCACCATGCACAGGCCACTGTGGGGACAGCCAGATGCCAGTCCCTTCCAGCATGGGCTGGTAAATAAGAATAGACATCTCCACCCAGCCATGCCCTGCTCCATAAGCAACTGGCTGGTCCAGAGAAACACAGGCTACAATGATAGCTATTGAAATATAATTATTTCAATTAAAATATTATTAAAATATAATTTAATGCTTGTCGTGTTTAGTGTTTCACTGACTTTGCAGATCTAAAGCCAGTAGTCTGATCATCTGTTCAGAGGATAACAATACACAATGTAGCATATATCACCGAATCCCCTTGCAAAAGTGGTGGCCATTTTTATGCCCTATCATCTTATTTTGAAGTCCTGTATCATTTTAATTGTTTTGTTGGGTTGGATTTTACTCTGTTTTGTTTGATTTTTATTATACCCAACAGTATGGGCAACTGTTTCAAAGATAACAAGATATATTATGGTAGCCATTTGGGATTTACTCTTTTTGTTTTGAAGTCCTTTATTGCAGTCATTGTTTTGTTTTTAATTGGTTCTGTTCTGTTATATTTTGTTTGATTTTTACTATGTGTGAAGGTATCTGTAGCTATTTTGACTACAGCAAGTAGCATTATAATAACCATTGCTGATTTCCTATTGTTTTGAAGTTCTGTGTCACTTACACTGGTTTGTTTTGATTGGCGTGATTCTGCTTTATTTTGGTTTTATTCTCTTTAAGATAAAAATCTACCAGTTTCTAAATTGAATTTTTGGGGTCTTCTATGTGGAGTATTGTGCTATCTGCAAACAGTGATAACTTAACTTTTTCTTTTCCAATGTTTATTCATTTTATTTCTTTCTCTTGTCTAAAGTTTCCAGGATTATGTTGAATAAGAGTGGACACAATGAACATCCTTGTCTTGTTTCTGACTTTAGAGAGATAGTTTTCAGTTTTTCTCCATTTAGCATGATGTTGGCTGTTGGTTTGTCATAGATGGGTTTTATCAAACTGAGATAAAGACCATCTATTCCAATTTTCTGTAGGGTTTTCTATCATGAATGGGTGCTTGACTTCGTCAAAAGCTTTTTCTGCATTTATTAAGATGATCTTATGATTTTTGTCTTTGGCTCTGTAGATATGGTGTATTACATTTATTGAGTTATGTATGTTGAACCATTCCTTCATCCCTGGGATGAACCCCACTTGATCATGGTGTATAATCTTCTTGATGATTTGCTGTATTCCATTTGCCAGTATCTTACTGAGATTTTTGCATTTATGTTAGCTAGGGAGATTGACCTGTAATTCTCTTTCGTAGTTGGATCCTTCTTTGGTTTTGGTATCAGAGTAATGCTTGCTTCCAGGAATGAATTTGGAAGTATTGCTCCTCTTTCAATTTCATTAAAGAGTTGGAGAAGTAGTGGTGTCAAGTTTCTAAATTTCTTGTAGAATTTGGCAGTACATCCGTCAGGGCCTGGAATTTTCTTTGTTGATAGATTTTTAATTACATCTTTGATTTCATTTATTGATATTGGGTTATTTAGGATTTTTATATCTTCTTGATTCAGCTTTGGTAATTCATATGTATCTAGGAATCTGTCCATTTCTTTTGTATCTTCTACCTTACTGGAATACAAATTTTCAAGGTAGGTATAGATTGCTTTGTTTTTACTTTTGGGTGTTCAATAGATGTTACAGAGATGAATTAAGTGAAAAATGTTTTTTCTTTTTATTCTTTTCACGTTTGCAACATTACGGTTATCAGGTACTAGCTTCTTTGAAAGTTTTCAGTGCCTGGAGGGTTGGAAAGTCAGAACTACCGACTGAAATATAGTATTTTTTAACTTAAAAAGATTGATGTACAAATAAGAGAAATGCCATTTGCCTATCAGATTGACACTTGCAGGAATAACTGGGAAGAGCATAGACAAAAAGAAACAGATGAACTCCCTGAAGGATAGTTTGATAATGCATTTAAAAACATGAATTAAATATACCCTGTATAGAAATTTATCTTGTAGTTTATTCCAAAGAAGTACCTGGGGAAAAAGCACAAAGATACCTCATTGCAATATGAGAACCAAAAGTTTAGTGTTCAATAGCAGATAGGTTAAGTAAACTTAGAACATTGTGTAGTGGTTAAAAACACGTTCAAAAGAGGTAGAAAATGTCAAGGCACAACATATATGTTATTAATTAAAATATGTAAAATCTTATATGGGTAGAATGATACTGGAACAACATAACAGTGTGATGTTAAAGGATTCTCCACCTGCTATGGGATACCAGTGGTTTTCCAAATCGCTTACTAATGTTTTGTTTTTCGCAATGATTGTGCACAATGTACAAAAGACACTTTTTGATGAAGTATGACAGGTTATAGATTATGCAGTAATGTCCAACATTCACTGAGAGCTTACCAGCCATCGTGCCAGGCATTATGATATTTTGTTCTGCAGCATTTAGTTTTAAAAAATCAGCCACCCTCTAGGCTTAAATGAGGACTCTAGCCAAAAGATCCGCGGATTAGCCCCCAACTCAATGAGACAGGCAAACAGAAACAGTGCCAAAGTCAACATTTTCATTTGGATCACAGCAGTGATTCCAGGTGCTCTCCACCGTGCAGATCTGACACGGGCTGTGAGGCCCACGAAGGAGGACTCCGCTAATTTGCTTAATTTGGTCACTGCTTTACTATATAACGCGTGGGGCGGGGACATCACGGTCGCCCGAGGAGCTCCATGAGCTGAGCGGACCCTGGCCAGGAAGCTCTCTCTTCCCCTGGAGCGACCAACAGGTGTCCCACGTGGCTGCCGCCCCCTCAACCCCGGGTGCCCCTCCCGCGGGCGCATAGCGCCCCCTGGCCAGAGCCGCACCCACGCGGGCCAGCAGAAAGCGTGGATGCCGCGCGGCTCGCTGCGCTCCGCGGGGTAAGCGGCTACCAGCTACCAGAGTCAGCTCTGCTTGCACCCCACGCGCGCTTGGCAGCCTGGACAAGGCCGGAGGCCCGTTGGGTAGCGTGGTGGAGGAACCCGCTCTGCGCCCTCCGCCTTACTGGTGCGCGGAGTCTGCGCCCGCCAGCGCACCACTGCGGGCTTTGTTCAGCATTGTCTGTGCCCACCTGGGCGCCGCCTGCCCGGGAAGTAGGTGACCCTGGCGGCCGTGCACCTGGCGTGCGCCCTTCTCTGGACCCCGCGCGGTCGGTGCCCCGCGAGCCGGCGGAGGTGGTGGAACTTGGGCACTGCAGGGGCGCAGACCCCAGGGGAACACAACGCAGGTAAGCGAGAGCGGGGTCTGCGTCTGTGAGTGGGGAAGATCAGGTCTGGCATGGTCGCGGGGCTCTCTGCCTTGGTGGCCCGGAAGGGGGCCGAATTTTACATAAAGGTTTTGGTAGCATGTCTCGCCCTCTCCCCCATTACAGGTCATATACAGGTGTTGCAGTGGCTCCACCGTGCTTGCCTGAGCGGCCCCTCCCCTGAGAGGCTCCCTTGGGCCACGGGAATGCTAGGGGATTTGCCCCTGCGGTGACACCGCGTTCCAGGAGAAACTTCTCTCCCTCCCTAGCTCCCCCGTCTCTAGGTGCACACCTGGCCCAGCCCTGCTTCCTAACTCCACCGGGCCCAGGGATAGATGTGTAATGTTTGGGTAGAACGAAATTTTATGCAGTTATATCCATGAGAAGGTCAATAATACTATGAGCTATTTATAAAACAATCGTTCTCAAACTTACCCTTCATACATTAGTGAATGGTCCTAATTGAGAGGGCGGAAATAGAATTGCTAATTTTTATTTCATCCAATATGTCTATTTTAAGTCCGTTCCCCCTCCAGCCTCCCATTTCTGCATCCTGGAAGTCAGCTTCCTAGGGCAGCTGAGTACATTTGAAGTCTGTCTGTTTGCCCTTTCATGCCCTAAACAGCTCTGGTCCAGCTGGCTGGCTTTTTCTCCTCTATGAAAAAATTAAGCAGTCCCTGAGGAAGATTACTACCCTCTTCTTCCTTTTCTACTCCCAGATCTCTGCTTTTAAGCTGAGTTTCCCTATTTTAAGTTAGGAAACTTTGCCCTTGCCTAGGGGACTTTTGCATCTACTTCTTGTGGGATCTTGGCAACAACTTTCCAGGTGAAAAGGTGGGCGGCGCCATCCCCATTTCAGGGCCAGAAAAGTACTTGATAGAGGGAAGCAGAGGCGCTTCCCAGAAAGGCTCACACCCAGGCCTCCTGCCAGCCCATTGCTGCTCTTTCCACTCCAGCTGTGTGCTTCCTGGCTTAGAAGACCTGGGCTGGACTCCAGGTGTGCAGTCTGCTAGCTGTGTGGCCTTGAACCCCACGTTTCCCAGCACTGTTTCTTCATCTGTGAAAATGGAAACAGTGACATGTATTCTGTGGGGTTGTGAGTGTTGTTGAGACTGTGTTGAATACAATGATGGCCTTTTACCACTATTCATCTAGAAAATGAACTGCCAATTAACTAGGACTCCACACTCGCTGTGAAACTGGGGTTCTCCCCATTCTAGAGCTGAGTGAAGTGAGGCAGGGAGAGTGTCACTTGCAGAGGCACCCAGGTGCCAGAGGCAGACTGGGCTGTAATCCACTTTCCACTGCCGGTCCCACATGTGCTCTCCTTTACCCCAGAGACTCCGAAGTCCCAGGGTAATGCAGTTGGGTCCTGAACAACTTAAAACAATTCAAATATCAGCCAAACAAACACGAAAGTCTGTCTACAAATGTCTCCTAGCAGGTCAGAGTCAGACTGGAACTTGTTTCTGTGACTTGTTTCTGTGACCTGACCCAGGGAATCCAAAACGGTAGATTGTCCCTCGGTGCTGACTCTGTTTTCCAGCTGTTAAGTTTTGAAAATGTGCCCATTCTTCTAAGGAGATCATGATCCTTCCTTACGCACCTTTTTTTCTTTTCTTTTCTTTTCTTTGTTAATTTTTTGAGATGGAATTCACTGTGTTGTTTAGGCTGGTCTTGAGCTTATGGGCTCAAGTGAACCTGTAGTGGGCTCTAGAGTAGCTAGAACTAGAGGCATGTAGCCCCATGCCCTGCTCTCCCAGGCAGCTTTTAAAATATTCTCCATAGCTAGGCACAGTGTTACTTACCAGTAGGCACAGCTACTAGGGATGCTGAGGCTAGATCACTTGAGTCCAGGAACTCAGCACCAGCCTGGGCAACACCGTGAGGGCCCCACCGCAAACCAAACAACCCACTCTTCTTAGTGCATCAAACTAGAAATGGGTTGTCTGTTTCTCTTGGCTCTCTGAGCCATGGAGGATGATTGTTACAGTGCAAGACAGCAAGGACTTCTTAGCAAAAGATTTTCACCTCCATTTTCAGTCTTCCTGTTCAGGTATGGCTGTACTTGCAAAGGGCTCAGATTCCCAGCCTGTTGATTTGGAGAAGGTTGCCAATGGCTAAGCTAATGTTTGGGGTTGGAATTACATTTTTTTACGGCTGTAGAAGTGGTTTCCTTTTTCATCCTACACTCCATTTCCGATAGTTGAAAAGAAAGTGGGCATTGTCCTGCCAAGCTGCCTTCAGCTAACACAGATCTAACCCTTCTTAATAAGCAGTGTTGCTTTGGCTTTTGTTTCTTGCTGCATCTTGGGAAATGCAATCTCTGGCTCCTGTGCAGAGTAACATGTGTGTAGCATTCTGCAGCAAACCTTACTCATCTGCTTTCACAAATGATGCTGGTGCTGTTTGGATCCAGGTTCTGAGGGCAGCAATCAGGTGATAAGGTCAAGGTGGGGAGTTCTGAGTCTGTGAGAAACCCAGGGGTCAGGAATAACACATGGGATTAGCATGAGTAATGGAACAGAAAGGAAGGAAGACGATGAGCGAGATATCTTGCAGTGGAAAAGGTTTGACAAGGTGTCCTGGCTTGGAGATCATCCCAACTACTTTGCACAAAAACAGAGAGCCCTGGAAGTCTTCTCAGGATGTGTGCCTCAGAGTGGGAGCTGCTGGCAGGTATTAGCTCGTGGAAAACATCAGAGTGACAGGTGTTTAATTACACATCTGTTCTCCATTACTATTCACAGTCCTTTTTTTTGGAACCTGGACTTCTGCCAGCGTGTTGCCTTTTGCCCCCAGCCCCAGCATCTTCCCCTTGTTGAACCTTCTCCAAGAGTTTTCCCCCAGAATCTAAAGAGTGGGGAATTGGATAAATCACACAGATCACACAAGCCAGGATGGAATCTGATGTGGCTGTGTCACATGGGCCCAAAACACTTAACTTCTCTATCCCTCAATTTTGACATCTGTAAAATGGGGCTAATATACCCTTATTAAAAGATTAAAAGATTAGCCATGAGGATTAGGAGAGAAAACACAAATATAAGGATCCTGGTACCATGCATACGATAAATGCTCACTAGATGGTAGTAATCGTTGATGTTTTACAGCAGAATTCATCCCTGTAAAAATTATTGCAGGCTGGGTGCAGTGGTGCACACCTGTAGTTCTAGTTACTTGTGAGACTGAGACAAGAGGCTCACCTCAGCTCAGAAGTTCAAGGCTGGAGTGGGTAGCATAGTGAAAACTCATCTCAAAAACAAAACCAACAAACTTCACCAGATACAGAGCAGTATTTTCAATGCAAAATTAGGATTGTGAGAAAGTTTTGATAATGCACTGAGAAGAAAATTAAGTATTTGAGAAGTTTGGGCACTAAGAATCAAAGAAGGCAAATAATATTTCCAGCAATGAAATGGTATTTTTTAAGCTTTTATCTTGGTGTAAAACAGAATGCAGCTAGGTGTAGTAGCTCACACCTGTAGTCCCAGCACGCAGGAGGCTAAGGCAGGAGGATCATTGCAAGTTCAAGACCAGCCTGGACTATAAACGGAGCTCAAGGCCAGCCTGAACCACATAGTGAGACCCTGTCTCAAAAAGACCAAAAAACCACAAACAAACAAACAAAAAACCCAGAATGCACAAAGATATGCCTGGAAGGATCCCCCTGATCTTCTATGGTTGCCTTCAAGGTGCTTTGTTTACCCCACAAGCCTGTGTCTTGCCTTCACAAAAGACACCAGGCACAAATGACCAAGACACAGTCCCTAGTCTTAGCTGTTTGCCACTTGGCAATCAAAAGCAGCATCACGGGATGGTTGAAGTGGGTTGTACAGGGGTGGGGCTGGAGGGAGAGGTGTTGCTGAGATTGCCAAACTGCCACCATCCCATCCAACACTTGAGAGAAGGCGCTTGACATGTCAACACCCATTTGCAGATTCCCAGCCTAATTTTTTTTTTTTTTTTTAATGAGCAAACCTTAGAAGACTTGAAAAGCCTTCAGCTGGGCAAGCAGAGGCACAGACTACAGCAGGATAATGTTGCTTAGGTTTGTGTCACGGGATAGAAGGGTGGATCTCTGTTTCCAACTATACAGAGGAAATTCTGTTTTCCCTTCTACTTTATCTTCACAGGGAACTATGGGAATCCTTGTTTCATAAATGATTAATAGGCCTGAAGCAGGCACCCAGGGTCAGAAGCTGTAAAGGCCAGATAATCACTCTGAAGTTAAGGAATAGCACTGAGCAGCCTCTCTCTCCAGCTGTGTCCCTGCCTGACAGCAGCAGGTGGAGAGCCCATCCTGCAGCAGCGGAGAGCATAACAGGAGAAATTTGTACTTGGGAGAAAGGGAGAAAGGAAATCTTAGGCGAGCCTAGTTGCTGTGCACCTGGGCTGGAAGCTGGCTAGAAGCTCAGCAGGCCAATATCCTTCTTGGCCACCTTCCTTCTCCCTTTGATCATGTCTGGGGAGTGTCTGCCATCATCACTGTTAAAATTGCCTCTCCAGTTTTCATTTAAGTTTCCTCAAGATGCTAGCTTCAGTCATTTGAGGCAGGATGACCCTGCGTAGACCCTCAGCTGGTTGGGATATATCATTTAGTTTGTTTCAGAACTGTTTTGAAATCCAAGGAGCTTCCATGCATAGTGGCACATGTGTGTAATGCCAGTACTCTGGAGGCTGTGGGAGAAGGATCCCTGTGAGTTCAAGACAGCCGGGGCCAGCCCTATGCTGCATAGTGAGACCCTGTCTCAAAACAAGCTAAGGAGCTGGACTTACAGCAGAGTAAGGTCCAGCTATCCAGGCCCATGATAGGTGGAGCAAATGGGATTTTTAAAACCAGAAGATGCCTTAGCAGGCTCTGGTCCAACCTCTTTGTTTTGCGAGTGAGAAACTGCAACCTCTCTCAGGATCACAGGGCATCAGAGTGAGAACTAGAGTTCCTGAATTTGCGTTTCAGATTCTGCCACCAGGGAGCAGGTGTCCTCCTGCCAGGTGGTATTTACAGACAGTGTGTGAAGTTCAGAGAAGTGGCTGGGGTATCCTTGATCTGACCTGGTTCCATGGTTTGAGGAAGGTTCGTGGATTGGGAGGAGCTGGATACCTGAGCTCTGTGACTCTTCTGGTCTGCTCTCCTCAGGGCTTTAGGGACTCCCTTCATCTGTCTCTCCATGCTGTATGCTTTCATTCCAATTCTTTCTTTCCTATCTACTGTGAGCCTCTCATTCCCCGTCCCTGAGGGTGAGGATAAAGCATATCGATGAGCCCCCGAAAGCAACCCTGCCCCACGCACACAGTTTTCCGATTTCCTGCAGTTCCAAGGAAGACCCACAACAGCACCTTCTTTTGGGTTATACCTGGGTTGGGTCATTTAAACTCCTCTGCAAATCAGGAGGAGCCACATTTCCTGGGTAAACTTTATTTTCAGTGTAGCTATAGTTCTCAGCCTGCTCCACCAATTTTCTGGATGTAGAGTTCAGGTTCTGTTTTGTTCCTGCAGCTGGAAGACCTCCTGCAGAGATGCTGGAGCAAGTACTGATTCATTTTGGTGCAGCCTACATTGAGGGCATTTCGTGAGCTTCCAGGGATGACCGTGCATCTTCTGCTGTGTGTCTTGAGAACTTAAAGTTCCTCAGTGGAAGTGGGCACCCAAAGGCAGGGACACATAACTGAAAACTTGGCACTTCTGTCTGGATCTGTTTCCTGAGATGGAGGGAACCATTGCTTAATTGGCTGTTAAGGGAATTTTCAGATTCAGGCACCTCAGTCTGAAGTGAGTTTCCCTTAGAAGTTGCAGACTTGTGATACTTTAGGGATTGACCACTTTTTCCTTAGCTTGGTCGGTAGAGTCTAGGACACTCCTGGAATGCTGCAGTATTTACCTCTCTGTATTTCTGCCATGGATTTTTCTTTTTATAATTAATTCCTGAAAAATTGTGTTATTTACTTGTTGGAAGGAAAGTGTAGGAAGACCTGCACATAGCATTGCTATGCTCTTCTCAAGTCTTTTTTAATAGGCAAGTTTGATGCAGAAATGGTCCTAAGTGTATGGGATTCCCAAAGGGCAAAACCTGGAATTTCTAAAATTATTAAAATATTTCTAGATTTTACCTGGTAAATTACACTGGCAGAAAATCTCTTGATTTTTATTCTACATGACCCCTTTATGTCCTTATGCTACACATTGGCTTAAAACTAATACTGTCTGAATTGTATGTTAAACCTGTGATCATACCTGGGCCTCATCTGGATCTTCTTGTTTTCCAGAGGTAAGATTATTTTTGGTGGGCAGTAAAGTGTTAGGGGTTTGGCTTGCTTCAAATCCTGTTAAATTTTTTTTTTTTTTTTTAAGAAATAAACCACTCCAGGAACTTTTAAAATCAAAATTACTTTTGTCTCACTATCTTTTCTTTAAGGGTTTCTGCCTTTAATACCTCCCTCAGATGTGCTAAATAGTGAGACCTCATGAAATAATTTTACTTATAATTAGAAGGATCTTTAGATGATGAAAAAAATTTTTTTTTTAATTTTATTTTGAAAGTGGTAAAATACAACAGAATAAGACAGAATAAAGCCAACTAAGATCGTACAGTGAAATCGGTACAGAACTTCATAGCAGGTCACCGGGATAACAGTAATAGGTATCACAGTATATTTTGTTATCTTTATAATAGCTGTTCTTTCAATCACGTATATCAAAATGAGATGAAATACAGAACATTATAGAACTTATCAAAACAGAATATTGAATAGAGCAGTATCATTAATCAGAATAGAGCAAAAAATATTTGGCTTCAAAGAGAGGGTAGAAGGAAGTCCCCCTTATTTGCTATGGTCAACCTCCCAGGAGATGCTCAGATTTCTGGTTCCCATTTGCTAATGGGGGGCGGGGGAACAGGAAAAGAGGGCTAGGGGAAGTGAGATGTTTGACTCTAGGCTGTGCATCAGTAGGTTCACTATTGCTTAGCGGGGAGGCAGGCTGGTTTGTTTGGTTTCACAGCGTCCTAAGTTCTAACATGGTGTGGATCTCAGGAGCTGCTGGTGGTTCTCCCCCTGAAAGGGCCGCAGTCTCGATGATGAAAAATTTTTAAAAATTCTTTCATTGTTTCTTCAGCCAGCTTACTGTTTATAAATAAGTTAGTATAACCTTTCTTTGGACGCTGCCTTTCTTAGCTCAAGTTTGGTGACTTCGGTGACTTGCTTTGATAGAGGTTTCAGCAAATGAGGACCTTGGACACCAATCTTCAACTTGCTAACTTCTGACTCCTTATGAAGAAATGGAGACCCTGGGAGGGGAGTCACCCTGCCCAAGCCCGTATAGTCAGTCTCAGATGGAGCTGAGAACCATGACTCGTAACTGACCAGAGCATGTCTGCTCGGAGGCCATGGAGGAGCTGGGGTGGGCTGAGGGGGGGGAGTGATACTCTGGTGAGGTTGCTGGATGGTCGTTTAAGGTCAAAGTCATTGGAACAAAAGCTTCTTGGCTTTCTGGGAACTGGTGTCTTTGGGTTACTGTAATTATTATGCAAGGAGGGGTCCTCTTTGGCAATGTGATTTAGGCAGTTCACGGATGTGTGCCTGATTCATTGTTTTTCTTTTCCTGGCCCTGTAGTTCTCTATCAATATGCCCTCTGTCCTGATGCTGGGAGTCATCTGGATCTTCTTGTTTTCCAGAGGTAAGATTGTTTTTGGTGAGCAGTAAAGTACTAAGGGTTGGCTTGCTGCAAATCCTGTTAACTTTTTTTTTAGTTATATCCCCACCAGGTTTTTGTATTTTCTCATTTTGAGACAGGATCTTGTTGAGTTGCTTAGTAGCCTCGGGTGGGCTCAGTCTTGCAGTCTTCCTTTCTCACTTTCCAGAATGCTGGGATTAGATCCAGCTTGAATTTATCTTTTAAAGATGTCTTGACTCCATCTGTGTCTTCATGGTCATCTGCGTGCTCTAAGCCTCATCACTTTATGTTAGACTGCTACAAGAGCCTCCTGGCTGGCCTACATAGGTCCAGGCGGTCCTCTTCCAGCCCATTTTCCACACTGTGGCCACTGTCAAATGCAAATCTGATCATGTATTGACCCTGTCCCGCCCCCACCTCATGCTTCTAAGTGATTTTCTATTGCTCTTAAGAGCTGCTGTTTAGTCCTATCCCATGGCCCTCTCAAGTCCCCTCTACTCTTTGTGTGGCAGCCCCTACTCCTGCAGTCCTGCCTGGTACCTTTGCTTCCTACCTCCAAAGAGGACCCCACGTTGCTCTGTTGGTGTCTGCTTGTGACCATGGAATCCGTGAACCCCGCTGACTGTGCTGTGCATTTCTCCTCCTGGCTGCCTCTCTGACCTCTTTCCCTGCAGCCACTGTGCTCATGTTCCTCTGTCTGTTCCCAGCCCTGGTCCGCTACTGGGCTGTGACACCTGGCCATGTTTCCTCTGTGCTTACTCTGGATCATGGGCATTGATTAAGAATCTACCTGTAGATGTGTGCCTCTTTTTTTTGGTGCTACTGAGCTAAATCCCCGGCTCAGTACCTATCTTTATCTCTAGCATTTCTGTGGCACAAAAAACTCGTTAAGGAATCTTAATTCATATTTTCCCTTCTCTAAAATTGCTTTTTCTTCAGATCCATTTCCAGTTGTAATCTTTTCTCATTTTTATGACTCTTAATTCAAAATATATGGTGAATGTTTAAATGTTAAAAATGAATTACAATAAAAGATAGATTGCCATTAATCTTCCTCAAAATACTTCTTACTTCAATCTTACCTCATTGTTCTTGCCACTTTTGGAAGTAGTTCTGGGAGTCCTCTTTTGTGAGTATCTTTATAAAGTGTGATAAAAAATACAGTGAACGCTGCTGCTGAGTGTCATCCTATGGAAAGGCAGGCTCATAAAAACATTACGGTGTGTTGTCATCCACCTTATTCACTGTGTTTGGCACCCTGTAATTTCTGGCTTTGCCCCAAAATCAAAATGATCGTGAAAGGTAAACATTTTGAATCACTTCAGGACATCAAGGCAGCTGTATCAGTACAACCAAACATACATTTAAGTTTTCACATTTAAAATGGTGCGTCTCACTATTTGAGTTCAGGCATTTTGTTGCCTGTTTCAACAATTGTCCCAGTGCTTTTCGGTGATTCTACTTCTTCTCTGAATTGTCTGTTCATATCCAAGGTTAATTTTTATGGCAGATATTTTGCCTGAAGGACCTGGCAGGCAGAGGCTGAGGGACTTTCAAGGATGTACACAGTTACAGTACAGAGAACCAAAACTGGGAGGGACGCAGTTATGGCAACTAGTTAGGAATCAATGTCTTCAAAATTGTAGGTTGTCTCTAGTCCTTTATATGTGTGTGTTTGTTTTGTTTTTTGCTGTGCTGGTATTGAAGCCAGAGCCTCTGTATGCTAGGCAAGTGCTCTACCACTAAGCTACCATCTGAGCCCTCTCCATGTATTTATAATGTCTTCAGAATTCCCAAATCTGAATTCAAAGATCCCTCATGGAAGTTGGGTAATAAGGTTATCTTTTCATGCTCTCCATGTGGCAGTTGTTGAAGTGCACACATTATGCTTTTCTGTCTTCCTGTTTTCTGCCCTGCTGGCTGTTGGTTCTGGTCATATGACACGGAGAAGAGTCTTCCTGTTGCACCCTGTCATGAATGGTTCTGGTGTCTTCTCTCCTAGTGCCTCCATCCCTCCCTCTTCAGGAAGTCCACGCAAGCAGGGAGACCATTGGAAAGATTGCGGCTGCCAGTAAGAGTAAGCTGCTTTCACTTTCCTTACACATACCCACCTAGACACTTGGGAGACAGACCCAAACGAGACTGTGTTTTTCTGAGAGTTTCTACCCCTCTCTCAGCTTCCCTTCATGCTGTTGCTGGATTCATTTTCCACAAATGGGGCTCTCACCAAAATACTCTGCTTGGTAAAAACAACCTCTGTAACCTCCCTCGCCCCAACCTGGTACTGGGGATGTAACCTCAGGCCTTCACACTAAGCTACCCCAGCCCTTTTGGTGTTTTGAGATAGGGTCTCACTAAACTGACCAGGCTGGATCTGAACTTGTTATCTTCCTGCCTCAACCTCCCAGAGTACTGGAATTATAGGCATGCACCACTATACCGCATTCTCCACAAATCTTTTCTCTTGAATTTCTCGGCCTGCACCTCAAGCCCCTCTGCTACTTGTGCACCCAACCACCTCATCTCCCACAATAATACTCCTCTTCCTTCCTAGTCAACATCTCTCTACACGCTCAAGTCACACCAGCACATTCCCAGGGGCCCTGCCTGTCCCCTCCTTCCCTCTCTGGAGAAACCCCTCATCAGTTCAGAGCTCCAGTGGGGGCCATCTCTGCTGTGCTTCTCTGACTTCTGCTCCCATCCAGCCTCTTGGTGAGATGGGGAAGTCAACACACAGGGTTGGATTCCCAGCTCCCCCACTTCCAGGTACGCTGGCCCTAGGGAAGTTACTGACTTACTCTGCTCTGCTTTCCTCATCTGTCCAGGCAAGCAAAAAATAGCATTTCTCCTTAGGATTTGAGTGGGTATTTCGATTGTGGGTGATAGCTTTTCACTGCTGTTAGCAGATACCTGAGAGAAACAATTTAAAGGCGGATATGTTTATTTTGGTTTTTTTTGTTTTGTTTTGTTTTTTCTTTTTATTGGTACCAGGGATCGAACTCATGACCGCCTGCTTGCAAGGCAGGTGCTTATGCCACTGAGCTAAATCCCCAGCCCCGATATGTTTATTTTGGCTCACTTTCAGAGGTTGAGCCATGGTGACTTGGTTTTGTTGCTTCTGGAGCCACAGTGAGGCAGAAACATGGTAGAGAGCATGTAGAGGGTCAAAACAGTTTACTTCATGAAAAATAGGAGGCAGAGAGAGAGAGAGAAAGAGCCAGAGAGGAGAGGCCAGAACAAGGAACAATCTCCAAGGTCATACCCACAATGTTCCATCCCCTTTGGCTAATCCCAATAATGTCATTAGTTTATGATCTCTTCAGTGGCTTAATCCACTGATGAAGTTAAAGCCTTCATGTCCAGTCCCTCTTCTGGGCCCCATCCCTGCACCTTACTACATTGGGGATCAACTCCTCTTTGGGGGATACATCACAATTAAGTCACAGCAGAATTGCTGATAGCTAAGAAGTGCACAATTCTTTTTGAGATAATAGAAAATCTCTTGGCTGTGGTAATGATGGAGTGCTTGTGTGAATGTACTAAAAACATTGAATTTGCCCAGTGTGGTAGTGCATACCTGTAATCCTAGCACTCTAGGAGACCAAGATGGGAAGTTTGCAAGTTTGAGCTCAGCTTGGGCAATGTACCTAGCAAGACCCTACCTCAGAATAAAACATAAGTAAAGGGCTAGGGATGTAGTCCAATACAAAGGCCTTGGGTTCCATCCTCAGTGTTTCAAAACCAAACAAAAACATTGAATTATACACTTCAAATGGGTGAGTTAAATTATCACAGCTAGAATGTCTCCAGTGGTATTGGGATGGAGGAAATACGCATCCAGTGCTGGTATTGCTCTTGCCATTTGAATATTTGGGTAACAGGGCCTCACGGAGGAGGGCTAGATGGGCTAACCCAGGAGACCCTCCTCAGAGGCCCTCTGTAGAATGGCTGAACTTGTGATTAAAATGGACCCTGGCATGAGTCTTTGTAACATGGAAAGATCTAGTTCAACACTACCTGTTGCACTCTCCCTAGTGATGTGGTGCTCAGCTGCCTTGGACATCCTCTTCCTGCTAGATGGCTCTCACAGTGTTGGCAAAGGGAGCTTTGAGAGATCTAAGCACTTTGCCATCACTGTCTGCGATGCTCTGGACATTGGCCTTGAGAGGGTGAGTACAAGTCTTGTCTATCATTATATTTGGGTATCTTTGCTTGCAAGTGACAGAAACCCAGTTGTAAACAGCAGAAAAAACTTACTGGCTGTAGAACTGGGAAGACCCAAGGGGTATAGTGGCATGCATGGGCCCAGTGGAACCTCTCTCTTTCTACCTTCAACTGTGCTTTTTATTGCTTACCTTACTTCCCAGGCAAATTTTCCTCACATGGCAAAAATACTCTGCATTGTCCTTCAGGCTAGTGATACCAGGAAAAAGAAAGCGGACTTTCCTTATGGATATCAAAAAATTCCCAGAAGAGCTCCAGTTGGGCAGGCTTAGGTCACATGATAACCCTTGGTCAGTCACAATAGCAGGGGAAGACTCTTTGGTCAGACCTGAGCCTACTGCTTATCCATCTTTTGGGGTAAAGAGAGTTCTATACTGAAAACAGAGGCTATGTTTACAGAACAGTGGGGAAGGTGACACTGAGTGGTGTCTCAGTATAGAACATAGCTCCTGCCCTTTTCTTTTCCTTGAAAAGATCCCCTCCTGCCTGACTAAATCCAAACAACATCTTCATTTCTTTTCCTTTCCAACTTCAAAGAATAGGTCTTAATCAGCAGAGTGTGGTAGATATACTTTTGTTTTTCAAAGGGGACAATTTTTAACAACCCAATAGAAGAAGGGGCAGTGGATACCGACAGTTCCCAGAAAGTGAAACACGAATGGTCTGTGGAAATGCGTGCCCCACCTCCCTCAAAGCAATAGCAGGTCTCCCACTGACCTGCTGTAGTTTCACCTACTGATTTGGGAAATTCCAGAGTTCGGTGATGTGTGCCATTGGCAAATCTTTAAGAAACTGGTGCGCCATGCACTGCAGTGGAAATGTAAACTGGTACAACTGCTATGGGACAATGTAGCGGTGTCACAGTGACAAAACCTTGAGCCCTCTGACCCAGCCATTCCACTTCTAGGAAGTGACAGTCACACAGCACCTCACAGTGTTATGTGTAATTGTAAAAGATTTCAGGGACCCAAAGGACCACTGACTGGGAGCAGGTAAATCCATTATGGTGCCTTCATATACTGAATGATGGGGCAGCTACAGGAAATGAGTAAAAGACATCAGAGCAATTTAAATATAAAAAATAAGGTGCAAATGGCATGTAGAATATGTTGCTTTTGTGTCAAAATGGAAGGAAATGAATGAAATCTACATGTGTGTTTGTATAAAGGAAGGGCAGGCTAAGGATAATGGTTTCTGTACAAGTCAAGGAGGAGCCTCAGCAATACAGATTATTTCATTCTCGACTTTTGAACCATTGAAACCTACCCAAAAGTCAAATTCAAGATTAAGAAGGGCATGTGGTTTGGAAACCCATATTTATTTATTTATTTGGTACCCGGAGTTGAACTCAGGACCTTGTGCTTGCCAGGCAGGTGCTCGCGCCACTGATGATAACCCTTAATTATTTGAATTAGAGACTAGTTACATATAGGTTAAAGAAAGGAGTGCTTTTCCACCATGACATTCCTGAATTAATCCTAGTAAAACCTGTAGGATTTAGGAACAAACATGCCTTTTAATGAGGGCCAGGTTTTCTCCAGAGCGGCCTGTTATTTGGGAGGATGAGCACATTCACCAGGACTTTAGGCAATCTAGTCATCTGCAAATGCCACAGCAGACTTCATTCTGTCCAAGCCCAAGCAGCCCAGAAGTTCTGCCCATGATGTAAACCCAGCATGGACCCTCGAAGGGCCAGGACAGAAGACTGCTGATTCTCTACCCTCCCCCATACATTTCCTTTTAAAATGATTCCTTATGAAGTTTACTAGTGATTCCTGGAAGAAGTGGCTAAAGATCAAATACTGTGTACCTTGGTATTAATGTGTCCTGAGATGAGTGGCCTAGAGATCCCAGGGGTTGGCAAGCTGGAAGAGAAGAGCCATGGGAATTTCATGTTTTGCAGGCAAGGAAACAGCCTTGGAAATAAGGCTAAGTGAGACTGCCTGAGGAGAGAGCCAAGTATGGAAGACTTAGGGCTCTTGATTCTCAGCCCAGGGCTTGCTCCACAAGGCCATGCCTTGTGTCATTACCAGTGGGTAACCTCTGAGCTGGGGTGAAGAATGGCATTGGGAACTCACACCCTGTGGTCACACAGCAGTGTGGCAATGTGTGGAGGAGGATGGATAGGCAGTAACAAAGCTTGACAGTCTTATGGCTGATGGGCTGATGCTGTTAGGAGCAGATTATCAGAGTTTGGGAACCTTAACCTCAGTGTTGCTGGACCACATCTAGAATGTGGCATCAAGTTCTAGTGTTGATTTTTAGGTTTGCTATTGGCAAAACAGACAGAGCTCTTCAGTCAGGATAGGGACACAAACTTTCACATAGGAAGGACCCTGATTATCATTTTTATGCCAGAGAGTGAAATATGGCCATATTTTATGACAGGGCAGAATCTTGGTGTTCAAGGGGTTTGAGCTAGGCCTAACTTCAGAAAGATTATCTTGTAGCAGGACTTGGAGAGCGCAGGAGTTGGGTATTTGAGTGAGTGAGTCTCTGGACCTTAGGGTGCATTGACAGACTGGTGTCCTTAGAAGGCTTAGAGTGTTGGGGGAGGTCAAAATGGCTCAGTTTGATCTGTGACTTGTTATTTATTTCCTTGTTTCTTCTGGTATGGAATGAACCCCAGGATCTCCTGCAGGATAAGTTCCCTAGCTCAAGGTTTCACGTTTCTATTGCTGCGCTTTTGTGTCTCCAGGTACAAAGGATTTGATCTGTATCTTGCTTTTGCTGTCTATAACTTTAGTCTTGAGGAAGAAAATTTTCAGTAGCTTTAATGAAGGTCTTTTATGGATGCTTTGTTGTTGAGGAGGACTGAAGGTGTTTGAAGGCTTCCCCTCCACACTTAAAAGCTGCAAAGTACACTTCCTGGCACTAATGAAGGACTACAGCAGAGAGATTGCAGTGTAGTGAGAAATCTGGGCAGGCTTGCTTCTGAGCACACAGTAAACTGAAGATAAAAGGCAGCTATTTTGCTCCCAAACCACCAATTAAATTAAATGCCTTAACTATTGACTGAGGCTGTTTCCTGCGTGTTCTGTTTTGAAGTTGTAGCCTTCCTATTTAACCTGAATAAACAACTCAGCTAATGTCTTAAGGGAGTTTTGTTTCTCTCTCTCTCTTTTTTTTTTAACTTAAAGTAATTCATTCACATGGTTCATTAAAAAGACAGTGAAAACTTTCACCTACATATTTTCCATTTGCAGGGTCCCCTGCCTATTTTAAGTAGCTCTCCACAATTGCTCTATGCAAATACAAACAAAATGAATATATGTTATTTTCCCTTTTTAACAAAAGGATAGCATAGTCTATATAGTGTTCACCTCTTTATCATCATCTTACCTTGGAAATCTCTCCATGTCTGTATATAGGTATAAACTTCTTTTCCCTGCACCTAATTAGTGTCCCATCATGAACATTTACTGAGGTTTACTAGCAAACCCTCTACTGATGGACATTTGCTATTGCAAATTGTGTAGTGTGATCTTGTAAATATGTTGTTTCACATATATGAAAGTCTTCCTGTAGGAAAAATCCCAAATACCCTACATATTTTAAATTTTTAATAAATATTGCCATTTGCCTTCCATGAATGCTATACAAATTCACATTCCTACCAGAAGTGTTTGAGAATGCATATTTCCTTTTGCATTGTGTCTAGTTTTTTTGCTAAATAATAATGTGCAAAAATGGCATCTTTTTGGAGAGGTCAATCCCCTTTCTATTAAAGAACATTTGTATTTCCTGTTCTATGACTCTGATCCTATCCTTTGCCTATTTTCTGTTGCCCTGCTAGTCTATATGTCAGTTCCTAGACATTATTTTATATACTGATGAAACTTTTTGTTCCCCACATTAGTTGCAAGTAATTTTTCCATTTTGTCTTTATTTTTTTATTGTATAAAGGTGTGCTTTGCTCTGAGAAGCGTTTGTTTTGTTTTTTCAGGTAAGTCAGATTTCTTCAGGCAAAGTCAATCTTTCCTTTATGGCTTCTGGATTTTAAGTTAAAGTCTCTTGCATTTTGGGGTTAGAAAGGAATTGTTCCAAGAATTCTAGAACTTTCATGGTTAGATTTTTCACACTAGTTCTTGAATCCATTTGCAGTGTATCAGTAATGTACTAGTGACATCAGTAATGTCCTGATGTCACTTGCTTACTAGACCATCTTTTCCCCACTGCATGCAGGTCCCCCCTGCCTTTTTTTAATCTGCACACTAAATTCAAGGAAAATAATGGAAGGGTTCTTTCTTGGAAACTTGTTCGTAAGTTTGTCCACTGTTCTGTCTTCCGGTATTCATCTCCTCATGTGTCCAGTCAAGACTTAAATTCCTTCCTATCTAAGGGGCCCCTCAGCTGCTCCTCAGGACTCTGCCTGTTGAAGGTGAGTTCAAAGCTGAGGGCTTCGGCTCTTTGTCTTCCAAGCAGCAGGCCTGTTAAAGGGTTGCAGTGGGGTATTCAAGAAGGGAACAAAAGGCCACATAATTGCTTAACTGTGAATCTCTTGGCCTGGTCAAATTCTTCACCAGGACTTGCCTTAGTTATGAAAGTAATTACTGAGAATATTGCCTCTCTAGGGCAACATTTTGGAGAACTAAGGATTAGGCATAGGGCTCAGACCCACAAGAGGAAGCCTGAACATTTATAGCCTTTACTACTTTAGACGCAAAATAACTTCATTTCCCTTCTCCATTTTTGTGAGGCATAGGGTTTTCTTCCATGGCCTCTTGAGTTAGAACTCGAAATCTATTCAGATCCACCAGAGCTCTCTCTTCCATTGCCTGCCTCAGTTTGCAGAAGATTGATTGTCCCTCAGTCTGACTCTAGTCTAGAGGCCTGGCCTTTCTCTAGCTTGGCCAGGGCAAGCATGGATGGAATGACCACTCAAAAAAAGGACAACAAAGAATAGGGAGCTGCTTGCAGTTTTAACTCATGATGGGCCACCAGTGGTGACAGCTGGGTTTGCTTCTAAGGTTTCCAGCAGCTGCCCAAGCAGCATCTTGCTGAAGAGCTGTGTTGACTTCTGAGAAGGAAAGTCGTAGGGAAGATCAGAAGTCCCAAGATCTGGGTCCTGGCCCCTTTCTTGGAGTAAACCCTTGCCTTGGGCTAGTTCTGTGTCCACAGCACAGTTTAGTCTCTGGGCAATACTGTAGGTGTTAGTCATGCCCCTTGGATCATATGAGATGATGTATGAGATTGTACATAGAGTGTCTGGTGAATGTCAGTTGGTGAATGTACCCTAAAACTGCTTACTGCTCAGCTGAGAAAATTTGTAGGATGTACTGCCTTTGGAGGATGTGGGTGGAGAAGATTAATTGGGGGTTGTCAATATAGAACACAGGCAAATTTGACCAATTCTGTCCAAGTGGTCTTGGGAATCCTCTTGCAGGCAGATGGACAAAAGCTCTGGCACTGATATTTGTTGGATAGCCAGAAGGCAGGGTTGTTAACCTTTCTCACCCCCTTTTCCTCTTTGGAATGCTTATAATGTGACTCCAGTCTTGGTCCCCTGGGCCACTGTCTCTTTCTGCAGGTCAGAGTGGGAGCATTCCAGTTTGGTTCTACTCCTCGTCTGGAATTCTCCTTGGATTCATTTTCAACTCGACAGGAAGTAAAGGCACAAATAAAGAGGATGGTTTTCAAGTATGTATGATTCAAGTATTTATGCCTGGTAACTGCCATGGTAGAAGGAAGCCAGCATTCTTAAAATGACTCCTTTCAAGGAAGGGCAAACCATGTACTTAGTTTTGCCAAGAGGACCATGGGCCACTTCCATGACCCCACTGTGCATAATGAAAACTCCCTTCTCAAGGATGCTCGCCAATATTACATAGTGTCCCAGGTGGGAATTTAAATGCTAGTTTAATAAAAGGGGAACAAGGCAGGAGGGAGGAGGAAAGGAAGGAAGACAGGAAAAAAAGAGAAGGAAAGCAATGGAAACCAAGCTTTTGTAATAAAAGGAAAAGAGGTTGAAGGGAGGGGAAGGGGAAAAAAAGCAAGCTATATCATGCACAGCTCCAAATTCCTTATGATGAATGTTATATATTATTAACCATTATTAATAGATAGTAGATGGTTATTAACTTTTATATTAACTATTATGTATATCTAAAAAGTATTTTTAAAATGCAACAAGAATTTGCTGCTATTATGTCAGTTCCATGGAGAGAAGGCTTTTGAAGATCCACACTAGGTTAGCATGTTCCTGCCAGCTCAAATCCCCATGATAAATGTATGACTGTCTCATCAGGCAGCACTGGACAGTCATGCAGTACAGCCTCGTCATGAATGTAAGAGCGTGTGGTGGGAGGAGATGGCTGGGTCATAGCCCAGTATCTGTAATGACCTCTGCAGCTTGGGGGTTTCACTATACTTCTGTGACCCTCATTTCTGTTATTGGTAAATACTAAATGTGAGTAAACACTGTTACTGTGCGTGTTTTAGAATATATGAATAGCTGTTTATGTGCTCAAACCTATATACACCCTATAGATATATGTACATCGTGACATACAAGTGTGTTGTCTGTGTGTGCTCATTTGTGTATATGCTTTAAGTGTATGTGTATTATATATGCACACATTATAGGTATATGAATGTGTGTTACATGCATACATACCTGTGTATATGTGCATTTGCACATACAGTGGTTTTCATAAGCCCTCACAGAAAAAGGGACTTTGACTTGTTACTTGCCTCACTTCGATCTTTGTTCCCGGGGCCTGGAGTGCTAGAGTCTCCTTTTAGAAGTGATTATAGGTCCTTTCTGATACAGAAAGAGAATTGAACAAAATGAGCATAAACAGTGGTTTATTAAATGTGAAACTCTAAAGATAGGGAGAAAAAAAACACAGAAGGATAGGTGAAGAACAGGCTCTGCAGAGTGAGTTTGGGCTGAGTAAAAAGAGGAAAAAATAAAAATATGCCCTACAGAGTAGGGTGTGCCACTGTGAAGAGGCAAGATACCCAGTGCTTAATGGCTATCTCATTTGCCACGCTGGCCTCCTGTCTAAGTCATCCTATCAAAAACCTGCTCCAGTCCTCTTGAAAAGTTCGTGTGCAGAGTTTTGGGAACTGTCCTGTACATGGGTTCCTGGAGCTTGTCATGCCTCCTTCCCCAGCCAGCTTTAGCCAGGCCCTACCTTCCCGCCTCATTTGGAACTGTCCTGGTTTCTGTTGCCCTGTGCAGTACCCAGGGAAATCCTGCAGAGGTCTGCTATTGTAGTTGTCACCTCCAGCTGGAAAGGCCTTGAGGCCTGAGGTTCTCTTTCCAGTTGTCCTCAAGAAATCCACAGTCCCACACTGGGCACAACTGGTACCTGGGGACCCTACAGCCCCAGGGAGCACACAGATCCTTAGTAAATGTTTCATAGGCTGTCTGTTCCAGTCTTTTCCTCTGTGTGTGCCCCGGATAGGAGGGAGGACAAATCATATGAAAGAAAATACAAAAAGAAAAAGCACATTAATAAGTTTTAGAGTATATTACTACACATTGCCTTTCTTTTTTGTTAGAGGCCTCCAAGAATTGGTTTCCTATGGAGAATAGTCTCAGTCTTGCTCTGTGTTCTGGGTTCAGACTCACAGTGTAGCGCTTGCCAACATGTGACACTGATTCCCTTGGGTCAGAGTGGTCTAGGGAAAGGGTCCCATGTACAGATGCTTGGATCCTACCCCACTATACTGAATCACATTCAGTCTGAGCAGTGATACTTAGGGGCCTGGAATTTTATAAATTTTTCTCTACCCCTTTCCCTATGGCTATGGTACATACTTTGGTTGAAATGTCTTTTTGACATAAAATCTATATACTGTAAAATTTATAAATGTGGTTTTGGGGTACACAGTGGCATCTCAGTTCACAAACTTAATTCATTTCACAATTCTGTGGAAGATGGTTGCAGTAATCCAATCCAGAGTTTGCAAACAGATGCAAAATTTTGCTAAATGCTTTTATTTGAAAACCAGATTGTTCATGAACAGAAGCATTCACGAACTAGGATATTACTGTATTTACAGTGTGACAACTACTACCCTAATCTAATTATTAAATATTTTTGTCATCTCAAAAAGAAACCTTCTAAGGAAACGTTCTTTATAGTAGATAAACAGCAAATAAGTACATAGGCTAATATTAATGAAAATCAAATCAGAACTACAATGAGATGCCATGTAGCACTGGCTAATTAGGCTGAAGTAGAAGACGAACACTAACAAGTGTTGATAAGGATAAGGGAAGACTGAAACCTACATGTATTGGTGGTAGAATTCTGAAGTCATGCCTGCCACTTTGAAAACATAGTATTAGCTCCTCCAGATGTTAAATATAGAGCATCATTATGACTCAGTAATTCCAGTGTAAGGGAATTGAAAGCATATGCCCACATAAAACCTTATACCCTAGTGTTCATGGCAGTGCTATTTGTAACAGTTTCTAAATCAAAGCAACACAGATGTGCTACCAATGACTGGATAAAGAAAATATGATCTATCCATACAAGTGAATATTATTCAGGCATAGAAATGAGGATTGATTCATGTTACCTGATGGATGAATCCTGAAAGCATATGTTAATTGAAAGAAGCCAGTAGCAAAAGATCATACAGTTTATTGTATTTTCCATTTATTTTTTTTTATTTTTGTGGTGCTTTGGAATGGAATCTAGGTCTCACACATGCTAGGTGAGTATTCTATCACTGATTTACATTCCCAGCCCAGTATTCCATTTTTATAAAATGTCTAACATGAATTTATGGATGTAAAAAGTAAATTAGTCATTGCCAGGGACTAGGGGAAGGAGAAATGCTTATTAATGGGTACAAAGCTTCTTTTGAGGATGATAAAATGTTTTGGATTGCAGATTGCAGAACTCTGAATATCCTAAAAATTACTGACATGCATTTTTTGTTTTAAAAACATTTTTATTAGTATAGATTTGTAGTACATAAAGATTACATTCATTGTAAGGAATTGGTACATGTATATAACACATCTCAATTCTTTTTTCCCCATCCCTTTCACCCCCATTTGTTTTTGCCAACATCAGATTCACTTGTCATATAATTCCTTATAAAGTTAATTATACATACAGATTAACAGCCAGACTGACAGGCCAAAAACCACATAAAACACATAGGATAAAGTACACTTTTAGATACCATATATTGTCCATGCTGAATTACAGTAACTTTTTTCTCATTTTTCTTGTTGTGTCTGTATACTGAGTTTCTCATATGGGAGAAGCCATGTGATATTTAAGCATGTATGTCTGATTACTTAGCAGTATGGTACATCTATTTTCCTACAAATGGCTCAGGTTTATCCTCCTCCTTTATGGCAGAGTAGTGGTCCATAGCATGTAAATACAACAGTTTCTTTATCCATTCATCTGCTTCCAAGATTTAGCTATTGTGAATTGTGCTGCTATAAACATGAGAATGCATACATCATTGTGGTATGATGGCTTTAACTCTTCTGTGAAGACACCTAGAACAGCTAGTCAAATGGAATTTCTATTTTTATTTTTTGTGGCATCTCCATACTGATTTCTGTAGTGGTTGTACCAGTTTACACTCCCACCAGCATTGAAGAAGGGTTCTTCCTCAGCCCCACCAGGATTTATTATTGGTTGATTTGGTGATGCTAGCCATTATATCTGGCGCAAGATGGAATCTCAGTGTTGTTTTAATTTGCATTTCTCCAGTGGCTAGCGATGTTGAATATTTTTTCATGTACATATTGACCATTTGTATTCCTTCATCCGAGAAATGGAATATTGAGGTCCCCCATTACAACTGTATTGGTATTTAATTGATTTTTCATGTCCATTGGTGTTTGTTTTATGAAATTGAGTGTGCTGTTACTTGGTGCATGTATACATTTGTAATTGTTATCTTTCCTGTTGAATTATTCCTTTAACCAATATATAGTGGTCCTTTGTCTCTTCTGATCAGTTTTGGCTTAAAATCCACTTTGTATTAGGATAGCAACTCCTTTTTCCGTCCCATCACATCAGATGTTGTTTACAATCTTTTAATTGTTTTTGAGTTAACTGTGTTTTCTGTATAATACATATTGTAGAGTTTTGTTTCTTGATCCATCCTGCCAATGTGTGTCTTTTGATTGAGAAACTGAGAACATTCACATTAATAGTTATTACTGAGAAGTGTTGATCGCTGACATGACATTATTTTCTTATTGCTGATTTCTTTGTTTTTTCCTCTTTTTAAATTTTTTTTATTTTAAAGAGGGTAAAACTAAACATAACAAAATACAACAAAGCAGATCAGAAGAAAACAATGTAAGTGACACAGATTTCAAAGCAAGTCAACAGAAGATCTGCAGTGGCTACCATAATGTCTCTTGTTTTCTTCTAGATAGTTGTCCACATCTTCACACACAATGATTTCATACAAAACAAAATAGTGTAAAACTGATCATAACAGAGTGAGGAAGGCATTGTGGGCCTTCAAAACCAGACATTAGGAAAATCAACAATGGCTGCCATGATGTCCTTGTTCTCTTCAAAATACCTTCATGTATGTTGAAATTAAATAATACAAAACAGACTAAAACCACTCTAGTGGCTCATCTTACCAGGTATATTAATTATTTTTGACTTACTGGCATTGTTGGCTTCATTGTT